CCTGGGAGTGCTGGTGGACAACAAGTTAAGCACGAGGCAGCAATGTGCCCTTGTGGCCAAGAAGGCCAGTGGGATCCTGGGGTGCATTAGGCAGAGTGTTGCCAGCAGGTGGAGGCAGGTGATCCTGCCCCTCTCCTCAGCCCTGGGGAGGCCTCACCTGGAGTAGTGTCCAATTCTGGGCTCCCCAGCGAGACATAGCACTGCTGGAGAGAGTCCAGCAGAGGGCTCCAAAGATGAAGAGGGGACTGGAGCATCTCTCCTCTGAAGAAAGACTGCGAGAGCTGGGCCTGTTGAGCCTGGAGAAGAGAAGACTGAGAGGTGATCTGATCAATGTGTACAAGTATCTGAGGATGAGGCCAGACTCTTCTCCGTGGTGCCCAGCAACAGGACAAGAAGCAACAGGCACAAACTGAACCACAGGAAGTTCCACCTGAACATGAGGAAAAACGTCTTTACTGTGAGGGTGACTGAGCACTGGAATAGACTACCCAGAGAGGTAGTGGAGTCTCCTTCTCTGGAGATATCTCCAGATATACGGACACGATCCTGTGCAACATGCTCTAGATGACGCTGCTTGAGCAGGGGTGTTGGACTAGATGATCTCCGTAGGTCCCTTCCAACGCTATTCTGTGATTCACTTACACATGCTTATTAGAGAAGCAGTACATCTTTCTACATTTCCTCAAAGTTAAATACCTCTAAATACCTTAATGCAACATTAAGCAATCCACTGCCATCTTAAATGGTCAACAGTCACAAATGTAACATCATGATCACAACTGTTTCTGTCTAGGTAGCTGGTATAAACAAACTCCTTATCTAAAGTACCAAGAATAGGACAGCTTTGAGACCTTAGTAGAATCACTGCAAAAATAAATGTATCCAAGCAACTGCTTCAGTAACTGTTTATTCAGAAGTAATCCTCTACCATGAAAACAGTTGCTTATCATAATCACAGTCAGGCACACATTTTCATTAAGTACAGTGATAGATTAGAATAAATACATCATATGATTTGGGATCAGACTAAAAGATCAGAAGTGCTGCTAACTGCTCCAATATTTCAAGTAGGACTTATTCCAGCAGTCTGTGGAAAGCTTGGGAGAAAGTTAAAGTGTTAGTCCAGTAGGAAAGTGATTTTTCCTTCTTTTCTCCACACAACTATGAAAGTACTAATGGAGATAAAAACACTTTTCTCTCCCCTGCCTCTGCACTCTTGCTTTAATTTCTTGGATGCTGAACAAAATAGGAGAAACTGATACTACATCATTGTATAAATTCATATATGGTAAATTCATATTCTAGTTTTACCAAACTTAAAATGTGGTTGAAGATCATGTAACAGTACCCAGAAAAACAAGCTAAATTGAATTTTGCATTCCAGAAAAGTTTTGCAAAGTATGCAGTTTGCATGTTCCCTCCCCACCCCAATACTTCACATAACCCTAAAAAATTTGCAAGTTTCTTTAGTATATACTTCACAAAAACCATAGGAGTACAGAATTGTTTAGTTTGGTAGAGACTTCCGGAGGTCTCTAGTCCAACCTCCTGCTCAAAGCAGGAGCAACCCTGAATCCTCCAAGGACAGATTCTACAGCCTCTGCAGGCAAACTGCTCTGATATTTACGATACTCATCATGAACTCTTCTTCCTCCCTCCCCTCCATCCTTTCAAAACTTACCCACTTCATTTTATGACCACTGTCTCTTGTTCTCCTGCCACGTGCTTCAGTAAAAAACCTGGCTCTATTTTCCAAGTAACCTCTTCTCAGACACGGGGAGGCTGCTATGAGTTTGTTGGCCATTACTCTAGCCTTTCGGAAGTAAACTTCTGAAGTCTTTAAAAAAGTCACTAGATGCAATTCCTAAAGTTAGAATACAGTAAGGAATCTACGGCAGTGCTACTGTATTTCTTTCAATTCTTCACTAACTTCTGTATCTTAAAAACACCTACAAACTTAATACATGCTTGTGTAAAAACTAAATGTTAACACATATCACCATGCAATGGCAAAAAAAAAAGTAGCTATCACGACAATTTAGAATTTGAACTGTAAAGAAATTTTATTGAGGAACTGCTATTTGGTAAATAACTGTAGCAATTTTAGAACTGTTCTCTGAAAAGTCTTAATTGTTCCTGAGACCCTGTAATGTCAAGAAAATGTATGCCTAATGGCTGAACTTTAAACTGATTGTTTTTGAAGAGCTCCCAACAATTTCAAGTTCCTGGAGGGAGAAGAACAGGAGAGAAGAAAGTTAATATGGAGCAATTTGAAAGACCTACTTTTTCTTTCTCCCTCCATCCCCGATAAATGTTTGCATTTTTTAATAAATGCAAAGGTCACTCTTATTTTAACTGCCTTTACTGTGGTTTAGCCCCGGAACAAAAACAGAAAGCCTTCAATGCTATAAAAAAACTTACTGTATCATTTCTCAAAATTCTATTCTACTCCATTCCTATATATTGAACATCTCTACTTCAATAAGGACTTTTGTCACTTTCATTTATTTTAGTTTATATTAAAAAAAAAAACCAACATGATTCGCTATAGTTTTTGTAAGCTCATGTCCAAAGACACTCAAACTCTTCTCTACAAACTCTTTAGGAAGGAAGACAAGACATTCTCCCCTACCCAGGGAACATACTGCAAGGGAATTTTCACTTTTCTAATAATGCAAGTATACACTGTAAGTAAAAATTATTTGTGTTCAGCAGCTGTAGTTCCATGGGAAAAATGAAAACACATTTACTGCACATGTTAATTAGCGTATGTTCAACAAATAAAGCAAGAGTTAGGAAGACATACCTTAAGATCAGTTTTTAAGTGTGTAGGGACACTAAAGCATTACTACAAGTGTCAGTTCTCAGAGTTTATTAAAATATTACGTCACAGTTATACAAAATATATTTCATATTTTTAGGAAAAAACAGAACAATTGATTAAAAGATCTAATAATTAGGAGTTAAAAATATCCATCAGCTGAACAGTTAGGATTTTCCCATCATCAAAACTGTGTATTAAGTTTACACATTGTGCTTAAATCCTTTGTCTGTACAAACACATACAGTAGTTCTAAAAAAAAAAATATTTATATATATATAAAAGAACCTTTTCTTTTCCTGCAGGTATCTAATGAAAGGTCCTCCTATCCAGCAACAGGAAGTAATAACCTTGTATACATCAATACACATTTATACTGTAACAATCCTCAAAACTGTTACATTCATACACAGATATACTTATTGATTTTCCTCCTCTTCATTCCTATTTCGGAAATTCAGTGTTGTTTGGCCTCTTTCAGGGTCTTGCAGTCGGAGGATTCGAATAAGGGTACTTGTAGGTAGAGAACTAAAAATAAAACATACATCATTTAAATAGTGTTTTCCTCTACACAAATTTCAGTATTTCTTCTTTCCACTGTATATTTGCCTTTACATAATTCTATCTTTTTTCTTAGACAGTTTTAAACAGTAACATGGGGCGAAGTTTTGGCTTCATTGAACTATACCACAGCAAGATTTAGGCCAAAGCTTGAGGTAAAGACAACAACTGATTTCATTCACATGACTTCTAACAATTAGACTGCCAGAATTATGAAAAGGGTACTTTGAAGTGAAATTGCAAAAGAAATAGTTATCAAATATGGTTCATATTTGCCTTATAGACCCTGAAGCGGCACATGCTTTATATACGCATAATCACTCACATCATACATATGAACACAGTTACTAAAGATATACTTAGGTTAGAGTTTTTCCATTGATTGCTCTACCTGTACTTTCACTGAGGCTGCCTTTGTGCTTTTGTTTCTGTTACACTGTTTGCATATTATTACTGAACATGCGATATGGTAACAGGATACAACAAAATCAAAACCAAATTACACTTCAATATTTAAACTTTTAAACAGTTACCATTCAGGAAATTCCTACATCTCTATTAAATAGAGTTGCAGAAATTTATCCAAAAGCACTTCCACTTACATAACAGAATACTCTTCTACTTTTTTAAATTTTAGGAAGGCAAGACAGTTATACAAAATGAACCTCATCTTAAAGACTGCTTAAACTTCCTGTATAGTCAGCTGAGAGAAGAAAGTTCTTAGGTGATGTGAATTATCCTCCGCAGGTTTCACTGATTATATTTGGCTAGAGAAAACAGTTGCATGCATAAGGTTTGACAGTGACTGTACCCTTGGCTGGGCATAGTTTTACCAGGGAATTATACGGAACTTTAAGAACAGTGGACTACTTGATCAAAACAAGGAAACAAGGGGTAAGTTACCCCTAGTAAGTTCTAGCTTAGTGAGTGAAAAAAAAAAAAAAAAAAGTCTACTCAGATAACACAAACCACTTAAAAGTTCATTAGTATTAAAGGGGAAAAAAGGGGAAAAAAATGCAGTATCTTTTGTCAATTTTGGGAGGGGGGGGTGGGGAAGGTGACTCTGGTAACTACTGGGCTAAAAGCTTCTGGAGCCAACTTTCAACAAAGAAAAATTTCAAAAAGCTGATGCACTAGAGATGATGTTCTGATTCAAGTCCCACTGATTTACCATAGTAAGAAACATTTCTTAAGAAAGAGTGAAAAAATCCTGCTATTAACTTATAGAATCACAGTGATGAACTGCTTAGGTGTTGATATTATACCACTACAAATAGCCAAGTTTCTTTCCCCTCACATTTACTTTTTTTCAGATTATACTCCTTGCAATACAACTTCCTTGTACTTCTTGTACTAGGAAATATAACACATCATTACCTCATACTTTGTGGGGTGAGCAAAATGAACTGTCGATGACGCTGAGAGTCAGCCACCTTGAGCATCATATCCATTGCAATTCTTCTGTTAACCATATCCTAAAGACAGAAGATTCATCATACTCATACTGACCCTCTACTTTACTAACTTACTATTATACAAATTAAGATAACTACCCGAGGGAAAAAAAAAAAAAACAATTAGAAAATATCTTAATAGGAAAACCTGCCAAAATTACCAAAGTTTTACTGTATATGAACTAAAGAGAAGTCCTGTAAAAACTGTGCTGGAGAATATTACAGTTAAATTCTAAAAAGCTGCAAACTACAGTCAAGGACAGATTCAGAATAAAAGTTTAAGAATAAATTCCTTTCAGTATATGTGCACTATGGAAAGCTTCTATCTGAAGAACCACACACACTTACGCCAATCTTTTTTTCTACCAACTTTAATATAGCCATGTAGTATCTTTTACTTAATTGGTATGCTAAGATGCATTGTATTTTAGTAAAATGATGTTTCCTATAAAACCCTGTCTCAACTTTACATGAAAGCATTGAAGGGTTGCATAAGACATACATATGTATGTACCTGATTTAAAAAAGATTAATGTATAAGATGGTATAAAACATGTAGAATGGGATACTATTATTAGCAGGGTTAAACAAAGCTCTGCTTCCACATACTATTATGCATGAGTCTATGCATCTCCGTTGCAAATAGGCTGACAGAGTCCTCTTGTGGTAGGTCTCCAGGATTACAGTCAAAGTAGCTACAGAACTTAAGAACTGTGTCATTGATTTATGACATATATATCTTAACGCACACTGAAAAATGGCTGCTTGACCAGGTTAGATGCACCCTTTCCTCCAAAATTCTTTATGTGTACAGTATATTCTCTTTTTCCTTTCCAGGTCTGCAATTTGCAGTCAATAGATCACTGATAGTGGAGAGACACTGAAGGCAAGATAAAAAACAAAATCTAGTATCTACTTATTATTTCTGTCACCTGGAATTAATTCTTCTCCCAAATCATACCACACTGATTAGTAGTAAGTAGGAAAGTAAAAGAGATTTTTGAATTGGTTAATCGCCCATCCAGAGAAGCCATGTACAAAGAGGAGCTTTGTCAGTTTTAGCTGACATTGGTATTTGCTGTTCATTATTCTGCATTTCAGTCTCTTTGAAAGGAGCTACTGAGTGAAGGTACAAGGCTTGGTCTACCTTCAAGTTTCTGAACAGCAACACTGAACTCAACTGCTAGACTAGCCCGGGGGGGGGGGGGGCCGCGGAATCAATCCTGAATTTGGTAAAAGTCAACATGTGGGCCAAGCCCAGGACTGTCACAGTATTCTATAAAGGCAATTTGTGATAGGCAGAATAGCAACTGCTTGAGGAAGTAACAGAAACTTCCATTTCATGAATCGCGTGCTTAACTAAGGTTTAAGCATGCAGTTTAAACAGATACACTCAGAACTCTTGGTACCAACTTCAAAAACAGAGTGAGCTTCAAAAACCACTAAGCTAAGTGAACAAGCTCCCTGGTAAGTATTATTTACAGTTACTATAATATTTTAAATTCTAACTGCTTCACTAATCTATACAAATCAGAAAGGAAAATACAATGTAAGTTTAAACTATACCATGTAGACATCAAATTCATCCAAGCATCTGAAAGGAGATTCAGTAATGGACCACAGAGAAAGAATGAAACAAACTGTTGAGAAGGAACGTTCACCTCCTGACAACGATCTCACATCATTAAGGGAAGCTTTGTCTCCCTCTCCAGGCTGGACCTTGAAATAAAATGGAGCAATTTTTAAACTTAGGATGGAGACTTACTAACAGAATCATAGTTTTAACTGGAAACACATTACACACATGTACAGATACAGATCACTTGAGAACAAGCTTATGTATTTCAGTGCTATGTATCTGAAATGAAACTAAAACAGAATGGCTCCTAAACTTTTTAAAATATATTTCCAGAATCATTGCAATCTTCCCCCTCACTAGAAAACAAATAGAACAGAGTAAACAAATGACTTTGCCAGTATTTTCTTAGCTGATTCTCTATTTTTTATAGCCATTAAACAATGTTTAACAGCTGTCAACCAGGATTCTTTTATTATTGTAAAATCCCAAATGTTAACAACTATAATAGAATAGCAGGTAATTGAATCACGCCAGTATTTTAAAGGAACAGTTTCTGTGGAAAAAATAAGTGAAGTGTTGTAAACAGTCCTTTGTTCCATGGATTATGATGACACTTTGTGGCACTCACTAAGATTAAATTTAAGCATTTTGGCCTGTCAATTATAGTACATTTAAACTAAGCAAGAAAATTAAAATTATTTTGTAAACTTTTTTTTTTTTCCAGTTTACCTTCCTTGATTAAATTTAGATCTCTTGTATGATATTAACTCTTGCAAGGAAAAGACAAAACATCAGCTATAAATATTAAACTGATAATGCCAGGTAATGACTAGACTTGCTGATTGAGCTGGAAGTTACTTCTCCCAATTAATTAGCACTATATCAAAGAATATTTACGCTGTCACTACATATTTTTTCCCCTAAATTCCTAAAACCCAAGTCTCCTACAGAAACAAAAGCAAGTACTCTGTGACTGGAGAGAAATTTTAGCATTAATACGCTAGCTATCTCTGGGACTCTTGAAATTCAAGAGCATGACTCAAGGAGATGTAGTGTACTAAGATGAAACCCATAAACACTAAATATGAAAGTTATCAGGGAATATAGGCCAAGAATCTTGCAGGGTTCAGATTTATGCACGGATCTCTTTAGGCCCTTTCTTTTTGCTGAAACTACTGCATCTACTGCACTACTAGTAGTAGTACTGCACTACTACTGCACTACTACTGGTGTTAACAAATAGAATTCATTACTATATCTGAAGAAATCTCAAAGTATTATCTAATGAATTTTAGCTTATTTCAAAGCTCACAACTTGAAGCTCTAAACTTTGGGTAGCATAGTCGTGTTTTACTGTGAACTGACAGAAGTCTATAATACTTAACTATTTAAAGAGAAGGAAAATTTAAAAAAAAAAAAGAAAAAACCTATTAGGAACATTTCATAACAAAGGTGAAAGTAATAAAGCATCAAAACTGCAACTGAGCAGAAAAAATGTTCTTGCAATGTTTTTAAAAGCACCTACTAACATTTTTGGGGAGGCACATTAAAAGATAAACTTACAGAACGCACAGAAAATACATAATATTGAAGCTATCAGCCTTTAAAAGGAAATAGCTAACAAAATAATACTGATATCCATTAAATAATCACACGAATAAAATAAAGCCTCCTGTAACTGAAATAGGAACTGAAATAACCTTGAAAGACTAGGAATTTGTCCACTGTGCAGGAAAAAAAATCCAAATTTATTCCATGCTTTCTAGCAGCCCAATCATAAGATGAGGATATGGTTTGTTTTTGTTGTTGCTTGTTTTCAACTGATGCGCTACAATTGAGGACACTGTATTTTGCGGAGGGGAGAGTGATTCATTATCCTTTGCAACGCATGCTCTAGCGACTGATATAAAGAAATCTATCTATTTATATTCAATATTATGATAATTGAAGAAACAGAAAATAACTTACTGTTATTGAAAGTGTCTCATTCTTATGATCAAAAAGTATTTTTCCACAATAAGCTCGAATACGTAATAAATGGTCAAAGTAGAGCTTGCATCGTAAAGAAAGGAGCCTTAAATCAGTTAAATTATGCAAATAAATATTAGGTCAGTGAGTTTTAAAACATGCAAATAAGTGACTGCAGTTTTTTTTTTTTTTTTTTTAAATCAGCAGTACCACATCATAATCTCAAACATTAAGCACTACACCATTAATAACACTTCCCCAAATCAAGTACACTCTGCAGGAGTTAGCGTTAGAAACCCAACATATTCAAGAGAATCATACAAGTACAGTAACAAAATAATAAACCTAGAAGTATATGCTTGGTATTTCTCAATCAAGACTAATTTCTAGAAGTCTGTGCTTCAATCAGCTGGAAACAACAACTCTCTCCTCTCTCTCTCTCTCTTTTTCTCTCTCTTTTTTTTTTTTTTTTTTTTTAAATACCCTCTTTTTCCACAGCTTGAGCAGAAAAATAACCAGACTCCATTTCCTTTTTACCATCCAGTATTCACACTGTACAGTAAGCATAGGAAAGAACTTGTGAACTCTGTTAGACTGCAGGAATTGGACAGTGTTGAATACTCCTTTCTTACCCCTTTTATCCCCCATCCCACTATATAATTCCCCAATGGACAACACATCACAGTTCCTTCAAGGAAGGACTACAGAACTTTAAGATATACTATACTTGAACTCAAATTTGTACTCTAGAAACAAGTTTCAGTTTGAGATCAAAAGATTCAAAGTATACACCCAGAGATAAGACAACTAAGTATCCATTATAGTCAGTGGAGATCTACAAAAGAAGAGCCAACAGAGGGCAAATCAACACATCTTTAAGTAGACACTTAGCAGCTGGTCTACAGAATCACTCTATAGGCTGTAAAGATGATATCAATTTAGGACTAATGGGAGCTAAATAACCTACTGTGCCTACAGACATACCTATAGGCACCAAAAGGCAAGTATCTGATTGTGCATGTAAATTTTATCCACTAGTATTTCTGCATCTCCACTGCACAGAATACGGCTCTAAAAGATAATAATGATCAGGAGAACCTATTGACATCCACTTAAAAAACACAGACTGAAAAGTATGAAGAAGAGGGCCAACACTACTGTCCCTCAATTTTTCCTGAAGAGAACGATAAAGGGGAAGGACTGCATTGGAGAAGAGCAGAACATCAGTCACAATTTAGTGCAGTGCTTAAAAGGCAGCACAACTAGAACCGCAGATACAGCATGGTAATTATTCCAAGTTATTCCTCGCATCTAACACTAGCTTTACAGCAGCTTAAGTGTCCAAATCTAAGATCATCACCTATGCTCCCTCGGTAGCCCGTCAAGAGCAAGAAATTAATCTGATTCTAAGATAGCATATTAACCTACTTAAAAAAAATCTCTCAATCTACTGAGCTTCACTAGCTACAAAAGGAACCAAGATATTTAACTTAAAGCAGATCCCTAATTTTTCTAAGTATCCAAGAGGTAAAAGAAAATTACCTCCCACCAACAATAAGGATTTGGGATTTCAAGTGAGATCCATCACAGACATTTTTCAAACAGGCAGATGAGATCTCAGAATTTTGCGAGTAGCAGTTTCATGAATTGTTGGATATAATCCAACTATTATAGTCTAAAACCCTTGTAGAGAGGTTTATTGTTACAAGCACCATAGCTTCATTTCCCAAATCACCTTTTCATCTTTGAGGAACTCGGGACTTTCGAACTTGGGATGAGGCCAAGGAATGATCGCACACCCTTATGAAACGCTCCACAGGGTAATCTGCTGTATCTTTTGAAGAGAGGCCACCAAAACTAATCTTCATTGATAGGTAGAGGATACTAAGGGATTGAAACAAGAAGAAGGGGTGCCTTCCTAATAAAACAGAGGTTCTGTGAGACAGGAAGCTTTCAAATTGCAAAATCTGAACAAAGATCTGAAAACTTTTTCAGTATAGGGCAGAGGAAAGAAGTGCTTGGCCCATTATGAAATTATGTGAGGATATTTCAGCTAATTTGACTCAATGAAAAAATCAATGGAAGTCCAGATTATTTCAATACTAGTATGGTGAGGACATTTTGCTGTCTAAAACAAGTATTGAAACAGAACCGTCTTCGATTAAGTCAGGACAGTTGAGACCTTTCCTGGTGTGGAAGCGTGGCGCTCCCACTGATCACATTCTTTTTGCAAATGTCAGTCCAGGCTGCGCTAAACCATTAGACATTATGGTATTGGATCTGGGAGCAAGATGAAGTTAGACAGCTATGCAAGACGAAAGTGAGGTAAGGATTGGAAGTTATGTTGAAACACTAATCACAAGAACTGTCTGGAATTAAAATAATCAATCGTGCTATTGTCTCACTCGAGAAGTATCACAGGATTCAACAGAAACGTGTACCAGTTTTGTCGAAGCTTTGTTCAATATCAGGTAATCTAAAAGACAAAATAAAATCAAGTGCAACAGGGCACTCGCTAGACCTTATCCAAATTCTCTCATACCTGCTGGTTTAGTTCATAGCAAACATAATTCTCTCATACCTGCTGGTTTAGTTCACAGCAAACATGAACTAGAGTCTACTTTGGAGACTCTTTAATGAAAAATCCACATAAAAACATACCGTCAAAATGAATCTCAAGTATACTTAGACAGATGTTTGTCAGGCATAGTCTACCACCTTTTTAAGAGCTTCCAGTGATAGGGATCTACAACTTTAACCTATTTCAGGACCTAACTGTTAATTGCTTACCCCTCATTTTTAAATCCCCAGCTGAGGGAGCCATTGCTGCGAGTGCCACCCATCAAAACCTCATTCTCTTGCATCTGCTCTATAATTTAGACCTTAAAGTACAGGTACAATCCACACATCACCCTAGTATATTTCGCTGGCCAAAGAAAGCAGTCTCCCACATCAAGGAAGCAGCAAAGAACTATGTACCTCTGCCAGTAAACCTCAAGAGTTGCCAAAATCCAACAGTTTAATTATTTATAATGTTATAATCACAGCGTTTGTGGAATAGCTGCATTGTATTCTATGAAGTTCTACTCAACACTTGAAAAGCTGTCAGATTTAGGTGATGACGAGGTTTCTTCTGCTCCTATCTACTTAAGTAGAAGCTGTGCAGACCTTTCTCATTAAAAGAAATCCATATAGTCGCTTTAGAAAAGGTAAAATAATGTGCTGCTAGATCAACTGAATTCAGCACATACAGTATGGAGACCTAACAGCCTCATTTGCTGGTATTACTCACAACACTTCCCGGAAACAACTGCATTTTTATATTCTTCAGAAAATACTTATTTGTACATATAAGTTATTTGACAGCTGAAGTTACATAAAAATGACTCACCTTAAGAACTGACGATATATTTTGAATCTTTGTGTCATTATTTCTTCCAGCAGCTTAATAAACTTCTTTAAATTCTTTACTTTACTGTTTGCATCTTCATATTTTTCCTTTGCATCAAAAAATTGCCTGTTTTATCAGAGAGCCTACCATCAACACGCATAAAGACCAAGCAATTGTTTTAACTACTTAAAAACATTTTGATGACTAAAATTCTTCATCCAGATGAAAGCTTTATTTTGAAGCCAAAAGCATTCTGACAAGTAAGGTAAGCCACTAGCTACAAATGAAGAGGTCAAAAAATTAATTTTACTTCTGCTTTTCCCCCTTATAAGGGGAAACCGACACCAAAGAGAACTAACGATTAAGCTGCTCATGTTTAAGAATATCCAAGGTGAGCGACTTTTAAAAATACATTGCAGTCAAAACCTCAAATAATTGCCTAACTTCTACGTTAGTTTTTTCAGACTAGAATTACACCTCATGCTCAATGGATCCCACAGCATCTGGGGTCCATTCACACCACTTGGTCACCATGGGGTTACCTCGAAACATTACGAGCGGTTGACCACTGATAATTTCAGAGTACAGAACCAATCTAAAAATCACTAGAGGGCAGTTCAACACACACAAGTCTGTTTAGTATTGACTGACTGAGCAATCGGCACAGCATGTTTTCATACTGTCATATATAGTTGAAGTATTAAAACCGCATATCCTCATCATGAGCCAATAAGAAAACTATCCTTTGCTTACCTCTTCCGTCATACCTGAACTACGCAGGCATGAAAAGTTACTCACTGTATGATTTCTTCTCTGTTTCCATGGCGATCTTTTTCTGAGTTTATCCTCTCTCTCAAGCGATTCATTTCTGCATCAAGACTCTTAACAGTTCTGCTAACTTCAATGCGCTCCGAGTATATTTGCCTAGCCTGTGCAATTTTTTCCTAAAGTTTGAAATTAAATAAACTGTTAGATTTTCAAAAGTTTGTTAGTCCTTGCAACGAATGTTTTATGCTATGCAAAATCAAGGTCTCTAAGCAAGAATAAAGTCTTTGTTTTGTTGTGCATCACTCCTTACAGCAAAATTACTGGCATCATCAACAATTTTACTAAAAACAGTTAGAAGCAGGTCATCATCCCAGCAATAAGAACTGTATCCATCCATGAACTCTAACGTATTTACAGTTATTTATCTAATTAGACAAATGAGGGACCAAATTCACCATAGCTCGATAGGACTAAGTCTCTCAAAAGCCTCTGTGAATATGATTTCAGAGTTATTTAATCAAGTCCAATCAGATAAGCCTCTGACAGACCAGGTATGAAATCTGCACAGGGGAGGAAAAAAGAACCTTACCGTCTAAAAACCAAAGCAATATTAAATGTATGCAATTTAACCTAAAATACAAGTTTTCGGGTTAAGTCGTTCCAATCTTCTCATTGCATAAATCCCGAAGAGTCCTAGCTGGATAACACTGAAGAATTATGTTATCTGTCAAGACTAAAAGGTGCTATGCCAGACAATGAAAAGTCTCTATTTATACGTACAAAGTTACTTGTATTTGATTTACACATGAACAGCTTAGAATAAGTTAAAAATCTGAATATTAACGTGGTCTATATGTCATATAAGCAGAACAACTGAGTATCTAAGTACTAAAAGGATCCTGATTATTTGATTTGAACTGCTAAAAATCAACCAACCAACCAACCAAAAAAGAGAAAGGAAAAAGAGATACTACCTCTAATTCTTTTTCTTTGGCAGCTAGTAATTCTTTACGTCTTTGTATACAAGCCAAGTGTTCTTTCTTTTTGTCTTCATAATGCTGCAAACGGCGTTTACTATTTTCTACTTCTGAGTCAGCTTGGTTTAATTCATCCTGTTTGGAATAAACGAGGATACGAAGAGTGAACTGTTTGTGGTAGATTCCAAAGCACCTCTCTACCACAGGTAGCTTTGTTGTTTTCAATACCATCTACTTGTTTGCATTTAGCGTGATCGTTCTTTCTAAAGTCCAGGTGGTTTAACAGCAATTGATCAAAAAGTCTTACTCATTCCCAACAAGAACATAGTAAGTGTTTACACTGCTTCCCAAACTTGAATTGATAACGATTAGGTATCGTATCCTGAGGGGAGTATTATGTTTTAATCTTTAAAAACAGATATCTGTTCTCTTAAAAACTACCTTTATTTTGTACACTACACTCCAGTCAGAATGTTTGATGACTGGAATGTAGTTTCCATAAGAAAACTGAGTGTCCTACTACATCCCATTATAATTATAGATATAGGAACTTCTAGACTGTATCAGTGTCTTAATGCAGTGAAAGTGCTATCATAGCTCTGCAAAGATTTTTTTATGTTCAGAAGAGGAAAGAGGTACAATGATGTAAGTTAGCTGGAAGATGACTTTCTTCTTCATTCCTGTCAACTAGTAGCTAGCTTACCAAAAGTTTTATTACATGAATTAAAAAAACCCATCGCCAATAATGGATGCTCTCCCATCCCACCTTTAAACCACAGCTTGATACGTGTGAACAGCTTATTGAAAAACTGCATAGAAGTATCTCCAATCTAAAATACCCTTTCAGAAATGTAAGTCACCTTTCATTGCGCTTAGCCCCCTTACTATCTAGCAATAGCGTTCTAATATTCTGAATACATCTACTCTAGTTAAAAAGAATTTTGTAAGAAAAGAGAACAAATATACCTATTGTGGCAGTACTATAGCTATATCAGTTTTTTTCCTTACCTGTTTCATTCCTCTTTGTTTGCTTTTGCTTTTTTTAAATTGGGCTGACTACACATCACTCTACAGTTCCAGTGAGTCACACAAGAGACCTAGTCACAATGAGTGATAGTTCTGAGTTTTTCTTATTTCATACTTTCACTGTTTTAGAGTACTGTTTATCTGCCCAACTTCATCACTTCCACTTTCAAACCCATTAGTTATTTCTGGCAACATGAGACATCTTCTACTTCTCAATACCAAACTTGGCATGTCACCACACTGCTCTGCCCTTTATCTTCAGTCTTGTTAATTCCCTGTGGTTCCCAGCTGTTTTCTGTAGTCTTGAACAATCAAAAATACGTCTTATCATCTTTTGTGATTATGCCATTTTGCAGAACAGACATTCCATACATAACTCCAAATGCCATTTTGAAAATGGCCACTTATTCATATTTTCAGTCAGGCCTCAGCAGAAGGAAAAAAAGTCCAATTCATGACGCTTGGTAACAAACTAAATTCTCTTCAAACTTAATAGTAGCAGCTATTACGATGAACATCATCTTCCAGGTATTTCCCCTCATGCTTCTTGACATGCTCTGGACAGAATGGCCTATTTCCATTTTCATATGCAAGGATCAAGAGGAGCACACTCTTCTCCTGCCTCCTTCTAACACCATCTCCCTCACCAAAGATGAATAAAGGAAAAATACAATATAAAGTCATTGCTACCTTAACAGGACCAGCAATTTCTTCTACTTGGTGAATTTTTTCTTTCATTTCTTCAAATCTTTTTTCAGCTGCCTGTAGAATATTTTTCAGCTCTTCCATTTTCCCACTTTGTTGCAGCATGTCCTGCTTTACAGACTCCATCTTATTCTTGTTTTCTTCAGCTTCATCTTCCTATCAAAATATATCGAAATGATAAAGAAAGAGGATACACATTTGCATATCGTTGTACAAGATTTTTATTTTATTATCACTTCGAAGAGTACAAGATTACACACATTACACTAAGTTCTCTAATAAGAATATAAATGGCTCAACATAATTGCTCGTAAAACCCAGAAGAAGAGCTTGACAGAGCTTGCTGGAGACCACTAAATCAAATCATAAAACAAAAAGAGTAATTTCCCAATTACCTGCCTGAAAGTTAACTGGATTTAATTTGGGAGTTGTGATGAAAGACTTCAGTGACTATAATAGCCAAGTCCAAGCAAAATCCTAATGTTTTACTGCAGTGATTTTCTAAGCAAAGAACAAGGTAACTTCCTCTTGGATCTGTGACAACATATACTCTTCCTCTGTTCTGTTTATACTGAATGTAAGTGGGCCATCTCTGTTCACTAGACAATTACACCAATCCTAAGCGATTATCATCAAACATAATTTTTGTTCAAAAAAAAAAAAAAAAAAAGGACAAAAAAATCCCCAAATTTGAGAAAAAGATGGGAGTGAAAAAGTTCGAAGAAGGGCAAAAGCAACATTGCATGTCCAGGAAAGAAGGTGGAGCTAATGAGGCAACGAAAAGAGAAAAAACAGCAACTAAAAGACACACCAGAAAAAGAAAAAGTGACCATAATTATAGACATTATTCATAAAGTACAGCGTTTTTCACTACTTATGCAACCTGTATCCCAGTTGATACTGTGCATACAGTATTTGTTTATTTCCTGTTTAAAAATACTGCCAACGTGAAAAGAGATAATTTCATATCTTTATTAGAAAGAACTTGATAATCCAATCTTACTAATGTGCGGATGTCCACTGAATGGTGTTCTTCTGTATTTTCAAGATCTGATATTTCTGCATTTGTTGTTCTTATTTTTATCTGGGAAAAAAAAAAAACATCAAATATTCTTAAGTTTATCTAAAAAGAAAAGTTATCAGTTGTTCAATGAAGTTAACACAGAAGCCAAATATGTTTGGGTTTTTAATTCCATTAATACCTCCAAAAGGGGTCTCATTCCATCCTTCCCAAAATATACTTAACTACGGAGTCTGTTTCCATAACTTGTTCCAAATGCAACATGCACTCTAAACCATTACTGCATTTCCATTCAACATCAAAGGATTTCTATATTTTATTTT